AAGTAGTTATAAAATATTAAAAACAGGGTCCTCACTATCTGAAGGCTTGGACTGCTGTAGCAAATAAAACTGCAGGCGCTCCAGGGGGCGGAGCTGCTTTCTGTGCGGCAGTTGCTGTAAATGGACAAAAGACATGTTCAGTTCAAATTCCACATCATGGCTGAATCAGACATCATTGATGCCTCTGTTCTGATTGTCTTACCCGAATTGGAGCTCTTTCTGGGCTGTTTCGGTGCCGTGTACTGGAACGACTCATTCCCCTGACTGGCTTCCTGGTCTAGTCCAAACAGAGAGGCCAACTTGGCCCTGCAAGGAAAACAAGTGTGAAGATCATCTAGATATACTTATGTTTGCCATGAAATGTATGATCCACCCCATGGTTCCACTCATAGACCTGCGAGACTAGACCAACATTACTGCAAAGTTTCTGTAGTTTTAAAACAAGCTAAGCCGTGGAAACTGCCCAATTAACTGTACTGACCCCTGGAACTCCTTCCACTGGTAATCACTGGTATCTCCCAGAACGGACATGGTGAAGGCATTTAGGCCATTGTGTTCAATGGCAAGAAAGTGGGATGAGGAGGGGCAGTCCGTTTGCATGTGTGTAAGTAATCCTTCTAGAGTACGTTCCAGTGCTTCTGTCCTGGGCTACACCTGATCTCTTGTTCCCCGGTGCAGTTGCACCATCGCAGTAGATTCAACAGCATAGCAGAGAAGGAAACTGAAGAGCTACGACTGAGCGCTGGGTCTCTACTGAGCAGATATGGGCTACGGCAGAAGCCTTCACCTTCCTCCTCTAACAGGCAGCATGTGAGAGGAATTAGCTGCCATAACACTCCTCCCACAGGCCCTACTCTGGCTGCTTATTCCAGCAGCTCATACACACTGTGCTGCTATCACAAAAAGCTCATGCAGTGTCACATAGCACAACACAGTTGACAGTCTGAAAATGTCAACTGTGCAAATGTAAGTCAAGTCAATTTTAAAGGGACTCAAGGCCATCTTACGTGGCTTTTCATAACAAAACATGCACAGAAAATATATAACCTACCAAATGAATTTCTTTATTCTATATTCTGACAGTCTTAGAGTATTCTGAGCTAGCTCTAACACACTGCACTGTTTTTTTAATAGTGGTTTGGTTTATCAGACTCAGAAATAAAACATATCTATATCTAATAAAAGAGATTTGGATTTGTTAGGGTTATAAGATGACCTTTGGTAAATCACAACCATAAGTTACTGTCTACAACAAGAAGCAGCTAGCTAAGTGACTTAAATATGAATGTGAAATGAAATTTCATCGCAGACCAGACAGAGAAGCTGCATTCAGGCAATAAATGTCGAAATATCACAGATATGAGGGCTTTGTGTGACTCATCAGGCGGCCACTGTACTGTGCTCCACGAACGAGCCACTTGTTGGGTTGGTACAGATGTATTATATCTGTATGAAAATCTGCATCCGATGAAAATACTTTGTAGCTGCTAACCTTCATGAAATTAGCGAACTCTCAGCTTTCCTGGGATACTCTGATCTCTGACTTAATATTTGGAGAGGTAAGTCTCATTACATATCTACCACTGTAATTAGAGTTCATTTACATAGCAGGCAGGACTTTTATGAATATCGGATGTAATTTTGTAATTCGGCACATAGAACTTAATTTAAATAAAATCTCATCTCTTTGAATTGGTTCCCTTGTTATGCTTCATGGTAAAATATAAGCCCGATAAGAGACCAGCTTACAAAGACTCACCCAGGCTTTACGTTATTTTCTAAAAGGTATTACCTATAAACAAGGTCGCAATAAATTGTCAGATTTAAATGATATTTGGCCCATACACGTGAACAGCTAACCCTGACTAAATGGTGGTAAGCTAGTTAGCTCGCAGGCTAAGAGAATTAGCTTGGTGGAATGAAATAAACTCACCCTCCTGTGGGAGACAAGAAGTCTCCGTCTTCATCGTCCCCTCCGAACATCTTCTGAGTTTGAAACCTTTTCTTATTAAATCAAACGTATGCACAAATGAGTTTGCATGTTTAACATGACAACTTTGTTGAACTGTGACTTTCCCTTCCTGTTTGTGGGGGAATCAGCTGACTTTCCACCTGATCCGAATTCAATTAGCTCCAGCTACCACTGGAGGGCGTCAAAGACTGTTACAGGATTTTAAATGACCCCTGAGGACAGAGGCAACACAAGGTCATCATGAGTTGAAAGTACTGCGCAGTCATAATGAATGCACGCTGACTGTGAGGGGATGCTGCCCTCCAGTCAGCCCTGACCTTTGACCTTCCAGAAGGGTTTAGATCATATACTGGTTTATACAAGAGGAATTCACCTTACTATGTAATATATGGGTAAAATGACATACATAATCATGTTATATAATATTCTGGTGTACACTGTTATAGTATCACAGTACTGTTATCTATACTATATTCTGCTGACTTTGCTGCTACTCATCACACCATCAGATTGGTAGATTGGTATCTAGTTTGTATTTTATTTCATTCTTATTTTTATTTTATATAGTCATAATATAATGTCCAAAGACACGCAGACTAGGTTAATGGGTGACTCTAACTTTCCCTGTGATGTGAACGTGAGTGGTTGTTAGTTTCTGTATGACCTGTGATGGACTGGCGACCTGTCCAGGGTGTACCCCACCTTTCGCCCAATGTCAGCTGGGATAGGCTCCAGTTCCCCTGTGGCCCTGCATAAGTCGGATAAGTGGGTATGGACGACGGATGGATGGATACCCATAATATATTTATATATTTGATTTTAAGTTTCTCTATTTATCTGTAACACTTGATTTAGGATTCTTTTATCTTAAAAATTAATTCCATTGGCATGGCATAAATGGCATACACAAATAAATAAAAACTATTCCTCCCAGGGGTGAATTCTGTTGGAACTCACATTTGGAAGAAGAAAACTGGAAAAGATCCTGGATTTTGCCACTTACGTTGCCTCTTAAGTTCAATTCAAAATTCAACATAAAGTATATCCACTTTAAAATCTCAAGGTGTGTGGATGTAGAAAATGCTGATAAAACATGATTACTTTTTTCAGAGCAGAATAATTTTCATGTTTTAAATGCCACTTTATGTTACTCACTTTAGACTTATTATTACCAGATGCAACAGAGTGTCCTGGTATTGTTTTCACTTTGAGAGTTTCATGGTCTCCTGTCTGCAGACGCACTCATGAAACTACAGGTGTGTAGTTGAGATCAAAATGAAGGCCAACATTGAAGATGGGTTTGGTCCGAGTAAGGGCGCTGGAAGTAGAGGGGTTGGAAGCAAGTACACATTCTTTTCCAGTGGGATCAGATTGTAGAATGTGCTGTATGCTTAGTGGGAGTTGCATCAGTGTAAAATAATATGACATGCAGTAAGTCAGACAGATTTGTTTCAACTTTAGTTCCAGTCTAAATCCTTTGAGTCATGGTACTCTTTAAAAATATGCAGTGGAGCTCATCGAATGCAAAAAACTGAGTGACAAATTTCACCAAATAAAAATATGTGAATCTGTAGCTTTAATGCTTTGTGTGCCATATGGAACAGAAAGTGCTGGTGTGCTCCCACCAGCCTGTAATCAAATGTTTTCCTATCATCACAGCAAAAATAGATCTTATTACAGTCACATAAACGCAGCCATATTTCCTACAGTCAATGTTAATTAACTCTAACTCTCATGCCTTCCTTCTTTGCCAAGTTCATTAAAAGAGCTACATTGTTTGGCTGAACCACAAATAGCATTGTCATCAGTCATAACATTGTGCCAGCCCTGGCAACACATAGATCTAATACAATCTAATCTAAAGTGTGACATGAGCATTGTGTTTGAATGAACTCCACAATCACTGTTGATTGCCATCATCTATTTTATGCTAATATTTTCCTGTCCTTGGCTCTAAGAACACTTGGCATGCTGCACATTCAGCATATTTACAGCTGTTGGTGTTGGCTGTGTCACTACTATTGGCTTCACTGTAATTTGGTAATTTGTTAGCAGTTGTAATTATATTTGTACAACTGGCAACACAAATAACATTTATATTTAGCACTCATTCATATCTAGCCATGCTAGCGGCATGGCATTTAGGATGGTAATATAGGTCTGTCAGTAGGTGCAGACTTTGGATCAAACTGAACTATTAGATGGATTTCCATGACCCCACGTGACTTTGTGATCCTTTGCCTTTCCTCTAGCGCCACCCTGTGGTTCACTAGAGTCCCAAAATCCAGATGTTTCCTTCTCGCTCAGGGGTGATATTAAAAAAACTTAACTGTGATGTGTTTTTAACACCAAGCTAGGAGTACAATGTGGTGATTTGGTTATGCCATTGATCCCTATGAAAACACAAAGGTGTATCTTTAAGAAGAACTAGCAATATTTGACTAAATGTTACGTGCCACTATAGCCTGAATGGGTATGAGTTTTAGGAATAAGTACATTTCATATCAGATTTAAACTATGTTTTTGCCTTTTATAAAATATAGGGTGAAAACTTTAAATTGATGCCCATAAAGATATTTGAGCACATAAAGTTTATCATTGTAATCAGTGCATGAGTTATTGTACAGGGGATAGACAAGGGAACATACACTTGATGATAAAACAAAGGTGTGCTTATGACAACTGGTTCTTTATGCCAATTGTATGTATTTGACGTAATATGATTTTCTAAACTTTTTCCTTTCACAGATTCATGAAGGTATATTTTTTGACTAATGTTCTTGCAGTTGAAGTGAACACTTTGGAGCACTTTTAGTTGTTCCATGTTGATTTGATTTATTCGCATATTAAAGTGCCAAGTGACAGATTGGAAAGGAAATGTTTTTGGCCCATATCACAGAACAAGCCATCTGATTTAAAGGTAATAAAGTGTTGTCTTTGTGCTGCTGTAGTTTACCTTACCACCCTGGTCATAATGTCTCTTCCTCCGTCGTAGCCCCCCACCAGTGAACACATACGCACAGGACGATTAAATATAATCCATCTTCTTTACTCTCTCTTTCTGTATTTACACAATCATTTTACAGCAGTATTACTCCATCATATATGGCATATTTTAACCATCTTGTACCTATCAAAAATATACAAAAATAAAATTGCATCTGTTTCTTCCTATATCACAACTGTCATCTGTCCATTTCTTTTGCTGTGTGTTAGGAAGAGGTAGGTGATTTCCTGTTCCGCTTCGCTCGACGTGTGGGTGGAAATCGGATGAACTCAAAGTGTTTGCTTTGGTCCGTGTTGGGGAAGGGAGGTGGGCCCGTGTGTAGCCTCTTGATGAAATGGACCTCTCTCTGGTTCTCCCTCGTTCTCGAAGCTTTGATGGGCCTCCCTTTCCTGGTGAAAGCCACATACCAGCCCTCATACTTGGCATTCTGGAAGGCCGTGTAATTGTTCTCCAGCACTATCTCTGTAAAGATACAATCCCTGCTCCGGCCGTTGGGCTGCGTGAGGAGGCAGAAAAGGTTTCTTATGTTAAATCTGGACAGACTGCATGGCATACAGATAGAAGCATGCATTCTTATTTATTCATATACACATCAAACAAAAAATGTTGCATAAAGCAGCTATATTACCAATATATAAGTCATATGATCTTAGAAAAGCCAAGTGACATGTTTTAGTAAGACTATGTAACATTTGAAAGAGGGAAATGAGAAGTTGAAAAGATAAGCAATAAAACACACCCTTGCTCACACTCAGTGGTCTTTGTGCTACAGTCTTACTTGGTCTGGTATGACCAGTAGCCTATGGTGGCTAATGTTAGGTAACATTAGCAAACTTTAGAAAAATGTTGCAGTGTAATGGACATTACGGAGTCAGTTAGTATGAACCACAATTGAAACTTGTCACTGTAAACTTTTGTAAACAAAAGTTATCGTCTACCCCTGTATATCTGGACTTTTTTACTGCAACATGAGCTATAAAAATGTGTTAAAAATGTTTACTTATGTTAAGGGGTAATTTCAGTATTTTTAAACTGCCCTATTTTCACATATTTTGGGGTTGAAATGACTAATAGGTATAAAAAGTTTTGGAATATGGCTTCAGCTGGCGGCAGCAAACCAGCTGTAGTGGCTGCAATATATTTCTTTGGGGCAATTGCGCGCAGAGTTTGAGAGAGGAGTTCTATTGTAGATACTGTTGTGAACTTAAATAGGCTTACTGGTACTTATTGCATAGAAGGGCAGCTGTTGTCCTTCAGTGTGAATCTTTCTCTGGGTGAACTTCTTTATGTATAAACAGACATTGCAGCACAGAGTTTTAACACTTCAACACTTAAGATGTGAAATTGATTCATGACGTGTCATGTCAGCCAGATATGTTAAATTCATCTTTTCCATTTCCATGAAGGAAATGGAGAGTTGACTTATGAACAAACATACAGGCAGTGCATGATGTCTGGGTACATTCCTCTCATCACTGTCAGCCCGGGCAAATAAGACTGAGCAACTACCACTCAGTCCTCTGAGGATTCCTTTTTCCAGCACATCATGTCCTGGGGTGACTGACAAGTCTACAAGTCTATCTAGGCCACAATGACAATGGACTGAAGCTTTAGGAGCTACAGTGTGTATTTTAGTGGATGTGAGATGTGATCAGGTGAGGCCAGGCACATATTGTAAATCCTCTGAAGAAAACCAAGCTCAAATGGATTTAGATTTTACACAAGTGGTTTTCCACATGTTTTTTCCAGTGACATGTTGACCACTCATAGAGCTGATACAGTTATAAATTGGAATCTACTTTACATGTTACATTAATTTGGATTGTTTAGGACTGAAAGATATGTACACCCTCAGACTACATTTTATCTGTGTGTTTGGCAAATAATGCAAATTTAAATGCCATCTTGTGAAATTCACTTTGCCTTAATGGATAAAGATTACTTGATACAAATATTGCTTGCAACAATATAATTTGGCTGCTTAACATTACCAAAAATATAACTTTAATAAGTTTTTCAATTCATTTAGTCACAGCAGTGACTAATTCAAAACATTCCCATATGAACTAAAATGCATATACGGTTTCAGTATCTGCGGAAACTCTACTTGCCCTCAAATAAAAGAAATCCAGAAATGTATATTGTACCTTTCCAACAAGTTTCCCCTTCCAGTTCATGCAGAGGTAGCGCCCACTCTCCGCACCTCTTATCCTCACTCGACTGCCAAAGGTATCTGTCTCAACAAAAAGACGAGCTGCCAGAAAAAAAGGGGAAAAAGAACGTGAAGACAGGCATGAAGTTCCCTTGATGAATAGCAAATATAATTCAGACTAGGCTGATTTGAAGAACTACAATTTCCACTTTATTGCACAATGGCAGACATAAACAGCATTTAAGATCTGCTACCTGTTCATTAAGGGTGTGGTTTGCATTAATATATCTAAAATATAGACAAAGCATTCTATAAAGATGTTAGATTTTGGCAGTTGAGTCATTGTGCTGGTTGTAATTTTGTATGTGTTTTGTCATTTCTTCTGTGGATGATTTCTCTGTTGAGCTGAAACTACATACTTTCAGGATAAACAGTTGAGTCAATAAGAGCCTTGAGGCACTCACTAGCCCAGGTAAGCCTCCTGAAATGATTCTTCTAACACCAAATGATTAAAAGAATGTTATCACTGAACATTAAAGAGCTGTACTGGAAAATGAATCAACATTCTCAATGGCATTTGTCCTGCGGTCAATGATGGGGCGTTGAGCATTACAACAGCCTTGTGTATTGGGGATATGGAGACAAAGGACTTGTCCTAATCAACCGCTAATTTGCCAGACGATGGCTTGATGGATACTGCTGGGAGGCTGAATTACCATATAGGCCGAAAAACAGATACCAGCAGGCTGTAGGTGAAACTGCTGGTTGTGTCTGGGGCATCGGTCCCCAGCAGGGATACTGTCAGAGACCAAAAACCTGCATTGTTCCATTGAAGATTTGCACTTAATTCCTCTGAAGAATCCCTTCACATAGTTTTACCATTTAGAACAGGTCAGTCTTTGTTAACCAAATCACAATTAATATATACAGCCAAAAAATTACAACAGGTTTGATGGCAGATTTTACATACAGACAGTTTGAGGATGATTTACTGTGAGATCGGTATATATCCAATATCCATTTCTTTTTTTAAACTAAGATGGTCTGATGTCTGGTAAATATCAATATCCCCACATTGCATCTGTACCATGGCATTCATGCAAGTCACAGAGCTAAGCATCTAATTTTCTGAAAAAGAATTACACCTATCTGCATATTTGGACTCATTTGAACTCAGAAGGTCTGTAAACACATGGTTGTTTCAAAGACATATTCCAGAGAACTCAAAGACTTTTCTCACTATCACACTGAAAAAAGATTTAATCAGCTGAGTGATTAAAAGAATTTTGTCAAGGTTCCCAAGTTGTGACTGCTTTTCCAAATTCACACAAAGGTTGGTATATATTGATGTCATGTGTTGCATTTTCATAAAAATAATATGCAAATGTCCTACAAGGTTGATGGCAGGCCTCAGCTCTTACCGTACATATTCCCGTCCTCAGCTGTGGCGGTGATCCTTTTGCCCTGGATCTGGACGTGTTTCCCGCTGGTGCGGCTGTAGAGCTGGTACACCCTGACCTGTCTGCGGCTGAGCTGGTCCGTCACTGCGCCCTGTGTCCTCACATACTGGTTAAAATTAGGAGACGGGTGATTCTCCCCCTTTTTTATGCAAAGGGAAAAATGAAATACATAATTTTTTTCTTTCTAATTGTATAGCCAATTTGTATAATCACTAAAAACAGGTTGTAGGCTACAAAAGGAGTTTGCCCTATGACTACTATAAGTTCTAGTTAATCATATAGTTAATAATATCAGTGAGGCTACAAGTTAGTCATATTCAAATGCAATATGTTATTCAAAAGTGAGTTGTTACTTTTTGAAAATAGCTAAACAATGTCGACCAAGTTTTTAGTGCGCTTACCTGGGCATGACACCACAGCACGAAAAAATGAAATGATCTGTTGAGGTAACAATTAGAGTTGTTATTATAAAGAATCTATTTTGTGGCAAATCAGTCTTACAACCTGGTCTACAACTCAATCAGTCGTCTTACATGTAAAAGCAGCGCTGGTTTATTCCATACATTCTTCGTTTTATTTTACCCGATCAAGAAACAGAATCTTGAGGCAGATAAATCCCAAACGGATGCGGTAAATAAATCCAACGGAGCTCCCACAGTGTTGCATATGCACTCCTGACCTGTCCATCCACACCAGCAAAGTCTCTGATACAACCACCTCGGAGTTATTCCCCTTCACATTTATCAAAAACCTGATCCAGCTGACTGGGCCGCAAAGAGCGCTTCAAAAGATCCGTACAGCGCACCAAAAGCCGATACATCCATTATAAAAAGCTCGTTAGATTTTAATTTTCGTCAGTGGGGTAAAATGTGAGGGATCCCTGGCTCGGTGCAGCTCTGCTTGGGTTACTTCCAGGTTTTGAAAAGCCCTCTGTCTCACCGGGATCAGGCTGCTCACTGGTTAAATGTTGAAAGGCCAAGTCCCTCCCTGAAATCTTATTGTGGGTGGGCACAGAAACAGGACCCCTAATGATGATTTAATAGGGAGGCACATGTGCAGAAGAAAAGAAATAATTCACATTCTTTAAGATTAGCAAAAGAAAAAACAAACAAGTTGAATTTCACATCCAAACCCTAAAGGTAAATTGAAAAAGAAAAAAACTTGGTTTGAGATTTTTAACACAAATTTCATTCAAGACTATCCCTGTCTGCCTTTAATGTAGATCATTACTGTAGCATTGTATTTAAAAGTGATCAGCCTAAGGGATCCTTATGGGTGTGGCAATTAGGTGTTAAAGAGACCATTGCCCCCATCACACTTCCATTTTACCCTATAGTGTCCATCAGCGTGTGGCTATTCGGAACAGGCAATTTCTTGGCTTAAGGTCTTGCTGCTTGCAGCATTCTCGAGAACCACTGATCTGATTGACTTCACATTCTACACTGCACTCCCTTGGGTCATCACAAAAATACCCACCAAGTGTGAAGTCGATCAGATGAATGTTTCTTGACAATTGCTCAAAATGTGTGGAAGGAGTAGCAGAAAAACAGATTTGGATGATCTAGGTGCAAATATGGATGGCTTATATGGATTGACTGGATCTAGACCCACAGAATCAAGGACTTATGGTTCAAAAGTTATAGGCCAAAATGCAAAGTTTCTTGTTATAATTCCAAATTGCACCAAATTCAACACTGAACTCCCTTAGCTCTTAACTGCCAAGTGTGAAGTCAACTGGATGAATGGTTGTTGAGACAAAGGACAAAACACACATATAGACAGACGGAGCTTCTTTTTGCAATGCCTATTCAACATGGCGTGTTCGGAACAGGCTGAATGCTAAGTCTCCAGTACTGCTGTTTGCAGCCTTCTCGAGAATTCTCATCCAAACAACTTCACACACAACACTGCTCTTCCTTGGGTCCTGAGCAACACCTGCCATGACATAGTTGTGTCATTTGAGTGCGAAAGCTCACGCGAAAATTTTATGGCCTCAGTGAAGGCAGAGCCCCAATCAGTGTCTTTGGATAAGCCCCAGCTTTTACACAGTTCAACAGTGTGATTTGAGGTGATGTTCTTCACTAGAGCAAGCAGGCCCACTGCATCCAAAGTACGTGGAGTATCATACCAAGATGGGAGATCTCCAAATGCAGTGCAATTGCAACTTTTCCAGGTATGGCTATAAAACCAAAGCAAAAAAAAATCAAACCAAACACCATTTTACCAAGTTGGCTAATTACTGTTGTTAACTGATATCACAACTTTGCCTGTGTCCAGTTATATATTAGATTTCATTGACTACATAACACACTTTTGCATACATCATCTCTTTCTCATTGTGTCATTGTGACTGAGAGTCCATTACCAGTGTCTTTTGCTTTTCGTGTATAAAATAAAATATAGATATGAAAAACCTGCATTAGGCTAACGTTACATGTGTCAAGCTTTGTTTCAAAAGTGTAGTCTTTTTTGTCAGATTCATTCCCAGATCAAGCAGAGTCAAGGCTACTGAATGGTGACGTCCAGAACACAATAGGGATATTCAAAAATAGTGTCCAACTTAATGGCAAACGTGAGATAATCAATTGGCTGCTGTCACTGGAATTAATAGTAAATTATATTTAATGTCTGCAAGTACCTCCCCCAGGAAATTTTGATCTTTAAACACTTCATTTTCTGCATTCTGGTGAAAGTTTCTGCACCAACTTAATGTTTTTATTTATTTCTTCTATATTTTAGTTTTCTTAACGTGCAAATAAATCTCTCATCAGGCATTTTCATTTGTTATTTAAATGTAAGCTATATTTCAGAATGTTTTTTAACAAATTATCCTTTAAAAAAGTGGTGGGGACAAAATCAGCTATTTCAAAAAGTGGTGGGGACATGCCCCCAGTGTAAATGATACCTCAGCCTGTTTCCACAGAATAATTTCACTTCAGAATGATAGCAGACCACCTTACAGTGTCACTATCAGGGCAGTCGGATGTAGAAATCCAAAATTAAAGCCCCATAAAATGTCACATGTGAGCTATGTTCCCATTAAATCAAATAAGAATGGAATAGAAAATTCCGGTTTCTGCAGACTGACAGCAGACCACCTGTGTGTCACTGTGACAATATCAGTTAAAAATCAAAATTAAGCCGACTCAAATGTCAAATAAGAGCTATGTTCCCACTAAATTCAGATTAGTGTTGAAACAACTTTTTTCTTCAGACCGATTCGACTTGATAGCAGACAGCAGACCACCTCAGTGTGTCACTTGGACAATGTCAGTATAGCCCGATGTTGAATATAAAAATTAAAGCCCCATAAAATGTCACATATTGAGCTTTGTTACCACTAAATTCAGATTAAAATAGAAAAAGGAAACAGTTGAGTTATTTTAGAACCATCACAAATTGAATCAGAATTTAATAGTTTTGAAATTGAAATGTGCAACTCCAGGTAATCATTGCTTATTTCAGCAGAGAGAGAGAACAGAGGTAATGAGTTATTAATTCGACTCGGGGGAGCCTTCAGTCAAAAAACAATGTTTGTAAAAAGTGGACCTCCTGAGCAAGGAAAAGAAAGACTTTTTTTTATCATCAAACTGTCAGAGGCCCTGCCCCACAAAACGTCTCTATATAGTGATTGTGAATTTTTGATGTTTAATAAGATTCCCCTGCTTTCACTGGTTTGGTCGCTGTCGAAAGTGGCAGTATCGACCAACCACTGTTCGAGATGGATGTTTCTCCAGAGATGGATGTGGTTCAATCACTGCTGTTTATATACTTTATATTTATTTTACAAACAGATGATAATTAAATGGGAAATCATTTCAACTGAAGCAATACATTGGAAACAGTTCAACGAGAAGGAGCTAATGAAGATTTTTTGAAACAGTAAGACAGATGTGTCTGAACCTTTAAGGCATTGAGCAAAAATCACCTATATATTCAGAAAGCGTAGCAGGTTTTCTATTCTAGTCACCAGTGCCCCAGATGAGTGCCCCTGAGGTGAAAATGAATTTTGAGAAACTGAATTTGAAAACTGAATTCCAAAGTGAATTTGGATCTAAGTGTCATTACCACAGCCAGGAGCACTAACAAACCAGCGGTATCGATGATCATAGCTAATGATCCCAGAGGTTAAATAGCTGAGTTTCCCTACCAGTCAGTCAGAACTGAAGAAGTTTCTTGGATGAGGGACGAAACGTCTTCTAGTATCTTCCACCAAGTCCAGTTGCCCTTGACCTCAACCCTCATTGGATACAAGTAAAAGTAAAAGCATTTTCAAAATGTTACATTCAATTTCAATATAAAAAAAAAAAATTCAATTTAGCTTACACTGTTCAGTTTGAACGTTTCAATTTCAAAACTATTCTAATCAGATTCTATTCTTGCTGGCACTAAAACAACTCCATAGTTTCCTTTTTCTATTCTGGTTTAAATTTCGATGGAACACAGGTTACATATCACATTTCAGAGGGCTTTAATTTCAAAATTCAAAATCAGACTGTACTAATATTCTCAGGGTGACACAGGTGGTCTACTATTTTTAAGTGATTTTGGTAAGTAAGGGGCTGACTCAGGTGAGCCCTGAACCATCCCTTAGTTATGCTGCCCCAGGTCTCGACTGCCGGGAGACTTCCCATGATGCACTGAGCTCCTCTTTCTCCTCTTCCTCTCCATCTGAATGCATTCTTATCCTATTAATTACTAACTTGACTTCCCTCTCCTGTCGTTTTGTGCTTTCTCGCCCCTCTCTAATGTCTCCTTCTGTCACTTTCTGCAGGTGTTTCTGGCTCCAGGGCTATGGGGTCTGGATCTATGATTGCAAGCCATCCACTGCCCTCATGTCCCTGCTCGACACCCACTGCAACAATTATTATTTTTTGTCCTATGATTATTATTATAATCATTATTAATGCTATCTTTATTAGTACCATAATTATTTTTATTGATATTTGTATTATTATCACTACCATTATTATTATCTCATTATTATCATCATTATTATTATTATTATTATGTGGAACTTGAATTGTGCTACTGTGTGTTCTCTTTCTTTCTTTGAATTAAATTGAAATTTTAATTATTAAGGCAGGTAAAAAGAAAATTACAATAATCCACAGGTGATGTGACAAAGAAGCATGTTTTAGCAACATACGTAAGTTTGGCTATGTTTCTTAGGTGAAAGAAAGATGATCAAGTTAGCATCCTAATGTGAGAATCTAACTTATCGATTGGTCAAAAATCACACTAAGATCATGCAGATTAGACAGAGATGATGAACATTAGGCACCAATGTTCTGCCTGATCAACCATGAAGGTTATCACCAATCAATACTTCAGTTTATCTTCATATGTAGAAAATGACTTGCCATCCAGTCCCTAATTGCATTTAAGCAGATGTTCTGTTCAGAAAGATTTTGAGGCTCTTCAGATTTAAATGAAAAATACAACTGGATGTCATCTGCATACAAATGGAGTTGTTGCTAAAACTGCCCTAATGGCAGCATGTATATGGAGAATAAGTCCCAAGACTGATCCCTGAGGGACACCACAGGGCAAAGCAACAGAGCCCAACACAAATTAATCTACAGAGACAGAGACCCACTCCTATGTAATCCCTGTGTGAGGTGAATTTGTCTGTGGATTAGAATATGGATAATAATAATAATCACAGTGTCAATTGCTGTGCTAAGGTCAAATAAAACCAAAACTGAACAATCTCCAGCATCTGCAGCCAGTAAAATATCATGTGATACCTTAAGGAGAGCTGTTTTAGTGGAGCACAGTTTACGGAAACCAGATTGACATGTATCATACAGTTCCAGTATTGAAGTTTCTTTTCAACAACATTTTCTAAATTTTTGAAACAGAAAGGTAGTTTAGAAAGATGCCTATAGTTCTCTTTTAGGAAGGGGGCCAGATTTGTTTTTTTCAGCAAAGGTTGGATAATAAGCTGCTTAAAATAACTGGGGACGCACCCTAATTAAAGAGAGTGGTTTATAATGTTGACTATGCTAGGCTTGATGAAGTTAAGAACCTTTA